CAGGACACTGTTCAAGACATGCCGCACCGCCCATGCAGAGGCACCGAGCTCTGACAGTCACTAACGAAAGTACAAGCAACTGAAAACACGGCAACACCAGTCCTTTCCTCAATCCCAAGACGAAATTCTCGGTTGACACAAAGTCATCCTGACGAGCTGATGAGAACGGCATTGAAAGAGTCGGCACATGTCAGCGACGTCTTCTGCGCCTTCGGGTCGCAGTCCGCAGAAGGTGCCAGCATCCTGCCAATGGTCAATGGTGCCAGATGGTTCCATGGTTCAGGACAGCTCGGGAAGGCGACCGTTCCAATGACACGCGCTGACTCGAGTTCTAGTCACATGCAGTGTGCAGGTCAACTTTTTTCTTCCAAGCCGGGTTGCTGTAGTGCTGACAGCGCGGGCGGTTCTCGCACGGAAGCGCTCGCCCAACGCGAGTAGCGCCGGATCCTGGCTTCTTTCCAGCATGGGCGGCCGGGGCATCAAGAAGACTTCATCGTTGCAAGTATCAGCCACTCAGTCTCGCAGAGTCGAGAACAAGTCTGCAGTATTTATTAGGCCTTAATGTTACGCCAAGAAAATTCCAATCCTTTCCAGATTCTCTTTGTTCTGGAATTCCTTGTCATCTATTGGATCAGGAATAACTTTCCTATCTTTTGGTTTCTTTAAAGAGGCTATTTATAATAGTACGTTTGAGGCCCCTTTAGAACTCCCAATTTAAGATTATCTTTGGGCACTATTTAGTCCATTCACAAGGGCCTTTATTTACACGGTCTCGCACTTAATGCATTGGCAAAAGGTTTTCTCTCTGTGCCCGCGCGCCCATTAAAAGAGCAAATGAATGAACATGATGTAAACGCGCGGTAAAAACAAAGTGAAAGGAGTCCCACGTAGGGTCTTTTGCTCGTTCACCAAGCACACCTTGAGACCCTGTTAATGCCTAGTCTGGATAACACTCGTCCAAAGTCCTGACATTGAGTGAGCACCGCGAACTGCCTGAACAACCTCTCCCTTACACCCTTCAGTGCTTGGCTATGCTCGGGCAGGTCAATTTCACGGCGCGGGGTGCCTATCCAAGCACCCTTCGACCAAATGTGCATCCATGTCCTACCCAATCCCCCTGGACAACACGACCTCCTTGGCTGGCAAACAGTTTCCAGCTCTACGTCGCGACATCACTCGCGCAGACACACGACACTGCGAAGCCAAAAACATTCGGCTCGCAGCAAGGAGGCCTTCGCCGTACGGCGTGCAAGACCTCTGTAGAACAACCACATGCCACAGCATGCTTTTTCAAAAAAACGTCCATGCAAGAAAGTCTGCAAATGCACTGCAGAACATTTTGTAGCGTCTCCAGAGCCGCATGCGACACCTTTGCGCCTACAGAATACAGATTGCTTAGATTGTTGCAGTTTATTTTTACTTGTAGTTTATGGATGTTTATGGGTCGCCTCGACATGCCTCGACAGGTCGCACCTTATGTCGAAGGGTCATCACGCTCAAGTGGCTTTAGATGTCACGTTCGAGCAGCATCTCAGCAGCCTGAGTAAGAAGAACTCGAGAAGCTAACATTTTGTCCAGACCGATTTGGCACAAAACTCGAAGAAATGCAGACGTCTCAGAACGCCAGGAGGAGACGGCCAGCGCAGAGCACATGAAGGTAGAAACCATCATCGAAGTACGAGATTCCCCTACAGTAGCAGCTAGTGCAGTAAATGGCTGGCACTGAAACGCAGATGCACCGAAGCCAGCTCGGGAAGCAGAGGAAGTTTCTTCGGCGGCAGAAGAAGGTTGTCCAATTGTCCAAGGATGAGAGAAAATAATGATTTGCTGGCGGATGGCAGCTCTTCTAGTCGATGCTATGTTATGAGGCTGTGTGCATCGAAGACAAGATCCAGGATGCAATCCAAAAAGAACTGAGGCTCGGCTGTGCCCACTCGACGAGGATGTCCCGAAAGCAAAAGCCTGCGGAATCGCTGGCCACCCACCTGCAACTTGGTGAAGTCTGGTGCAAGTTGCAGTCGGTTGAAGAAGGACCAGCTGTCGAACAACAGGGTCTTGGGAGGGGACTTAGGACTTAGGGTTCAGGGCTTCGTTTCTAACCCTCGCAGTTCTCCGGTGCCTCGGCGAAGCCCAGGAGCTCCGTGTCCACTGTGTGAGTTGAAATGTGCGGCTCGTCGGAGGCCTGTGCACTTTGCTCTGCTCTCAGCACAGAGGCGCAGCTGCGCGCTTGTCAAGCACATGGACAGGGGCAAGCTGCCACACTGCGGCTGGCATCTTCGCCATGCTCGAATCATGGGGAAGACTAATTAGTTTGGACAGCCTCACCCTAAACTCCCTAAACCTGGGCATCTGGGATTGGGATTCTCTGAGGGTTTGTCCAGATAAAACACAAACATGTGACCCTGCAAATGGAGGCACCTCTTCTGCTGCAAGCTTTGGGTCTTCCAGTGAGACCTCTTCAAAAAGGGGGGCGTGCGATCTAGCAGCTGCTCTTGGGGTGGTTTTCCGGTCCTCGGGAAACGTGTCCAGCTCTTTCAGCTCCTGCTCCGCCCATTGCGATAAATCCTGAGAAACTGACACTTTGCGTCTGGGAATATCCTGAACACCAGGAAAGTAAGGCAAGAAAGTACACAAAAGCTTCAAAAACTGAAGAGAGGCCAAAACTGGTGCAAGCGACCGTGAGATTGTCCATTACAAGGCTCGGGAATCTACAGAACAAAGGGTTGCAAGAAAGATTCTGCGCAAGAGCACAAATATTCGACAAACAAATTGCTGGTTTTGCATTCCCAACGGTTGGAAAACTGTCTGCAAGACATGCAGATAGGGAACATGCAGAGGAGCAAGCAGAGGAGCAAGCAGGTCCTGTAGTTGATGCCAAAGGCTTCTTCGTGCTACTGCCTAGGCCCTAGGGGCCTAGGGACGATGCAACATGCTACAAAGTTCAGCGGAAGTACTGACGTGCTGCAGCAGATGGGGCAGCTGCAGCAGCAGCAGCAACAGCAGCAGCAGTTGTGACAGCAGCAAAAGCAAACCACAATGACTTTCGTCGCTTTCGTCGTGCTCAGAATCCCGTTGCACGGGAGGGGGAAGAAACTGCTGCTACTGCCGCTGCTAGGGCAAAAATGCGTTCACTTATGCACTCGCATCTATTTACAGCCTAGTAGGGCGGCAGCTGCATTGCATGCTTGTAGACATCTGCCAGACGAACTGCACACCAGCACATGAAACGCTTCAACCACACATTGCCCGCAGACTATCCGTATGTGGCCTCCAGAACCAGTGCTGTAAGTTCCACTTTTGCAGACGCAATGCCGATTCTGGAACCTGGCCGGCGATGCACAACAAAACGCCACCGTGTAACTGGTTGTAGTTGGAGGGGAAGAGAGACCGGCCCAGGCAATCTCAGCTTGGCCCACCCACAACACGGAGCCTTGGAAATCAATCAAGAATGGCGAAATGCAGTTGTCGAGAAAATGGCACCACCAGGAAGAGTCACACACAAAACTGGACAAACGACCTTTACATCATTTCGCGGAGAGCAGAGTGTCTTAAATGTCAACAAGGCCTGAGCTGTCAGTGGCCGGGTGACTTCTGGATGCGGGCCAGATCGTCCAAGAGCAGCGAACACGCGTCGTCGACCTCAGGCCACTAGGACGAACCTCCGACAACGCTGAATCACAAAAGAAAACCAAGAGTCCGGCACACTGACAAGGTCCGTTTACCTGGCTGCAGTGGAGCGGAAGAAGAGGACAAAGGTAACAGATGTAACAGTTCAAGGCACCTTCAGCTTGCACACATGCTTCAACAACGTTCAACAACGTTCAACAACGTTCAACAACGTTCAACAACGTTCAACAACGTTCAACAACGTTCAACAACGTTCAGCGTATCGGAGTCGAGAGTGCGACGTGCGAAAGGAGTTGCTAAGCATTGCTAAGCCTCCTACAGACTCCTACGCCAAGAGGTTGGTGCTATTTGGTGCTCTTGCATTTGACCTTCGCTGCCTTCGCTCTTTGCCTCTCACTTCATGTGTCTGTCAGGATCTGTTATGATTTGTTTCTTTCACTTTTGGTACTTACCTGCCCGTGGTGGCCACGACAAGTGGCCTCAGTGGATTCCCAAGCGTCCCAGGCGCCTCCACAAGCGTTTCATCGCTGCCCAAATCCGAGAGTTGAAGTCGAGCTCCAGTGCCTGAGCTGATCTGAGCTGGCTGCAAAGCTCGAGATACTTCGCCCAGCATTGCCATTCTTTGCCGATCTTTGCTGGTCTGGGTCACGTGCGGGCTTGCAGCTCCTGAGAAATGGACGGGGTGGCTACAAAGCTTCGTGATTCATGGCATCATCTGAGTGGGGTCGGTCCTGGACATTGGCGCCCTTTTTGCCAATAAGGCGACCCGCAAAGTCACCAGAAATTACCAAGTACAGCAAGGTACAGCCTTGTCAACAAACAGCAGATCCTCATGATGTGAATCCGATACTCAATCTTGTATGCGCCAGCCTGAAGCTGCTGCTGCCGCGGATGCTGACGTTCTCTCGCATAGCAAGGCTGCAAACATGTCATGTCGGCCGGTGGCGAAGCGATGCCAACCGGCGCAAACGTACTGATCTGCCCCCCTGAATGCCTGCATCGTGCTCTGGCAATTCATGAGAGGATTCCATGCTGCTGAAATACTGGATACAAGAATTTAATGCTTTGATTTTGTAGCCGCCTTCTTCTGCATCCTTGGATCAAACGGACTTGACTTTGCATCGGCTGGTCTTTGGGTTTTGTTGAGGAACTATCCTGGCTTGTTCTGCCTTGTCAATGGAGAAGAAACCCAGCTCTTTTTCCTTACTCCGCACAGGCGCATCTTCAACTTCTTGCGTCTGATGAGATTGGTGAGACTGTGAGACGAGCCGCAACACGTTGGCCGGCTGCACATTAACGAGGCTTGACGCTTCCGCTTGTGTTCGCGAAAGCATTGAGCCACAATGAATTCTGATGCCTCATGTTCACGAACATCACAACTCAAAGAAATTCCACACAATGATGCAACCGTCCTGCATCCAGGCCGCTGATAGCACCGTCATTTTTCGACAAATGAGCAACAAGCCCTTCGTTTTGCACAAGGTCCGAAGATCAGAGGCGTTGAGATCAAAAGATTGTTCTTTGTTGAGTCATGAAATGCTGAGGTACAGCGGAAATACTGATTTGAGCGCAAAGCCCCTAAGTACACTACCGTTACCTCCACGCGAACGTGCAAGAATTCTTTCGACTTTCAAGCCTGCAACAAACTTCGCAGAGCCATGAGGCAACGCTAAAGGCAGGCCTTCCCAGCGCTGATAATCTGCTTCTGGTCTGGACTCCAGCGAACCTGTGAAAGCCCACCTGCCGTGCAAGGACAGGCCATGACCCCAGCACCAGCTGGGATTTGCATTCCACTTCGAAGCATTCCGGAGCCTGAGTGCCCCTCGCACTCCTGTATGCACTGGCACGACACCAGGTCGTAGATGTACATCCTCACAAGCAGTTCACACGCTGTTCAGCTGCTTTGTCTCACCCCAGCACGTGAGAAGTCCTAGCATCATCGCAGCCCACTGCGATGTATCGCCCGTTGGGTGACACTTCGCAACATCGCCTCAAGTCCAAATATGTCCAAACACAAGTTGTGCGACTGCATTGGTTTTAGTACATCCCTTTCCTACAGCCCGGGTGGACTTGGATGGAAGGTAAGAACGACATGCATCGCGATCCAGACTCGTGAAGCCTGCAGCTGCCTTACACACATGAGGATGCGTGAAAACCCCCTATCCCGGGATATCCCTGAGTTGCGTATTTGTTCTTGCTTAGTCTTATCGTTTTCTCGAGTTTTAGCATTATCCTGAACGTTATCGTTTTTTTTGTTTACTCTTATCGTTTTTCCGAGCAAAACTGATCATTTCGGGGCGCTTGCCTTTACTTTTCAATATGTGATGTGAACATCAACTCTGACGGATGCAAGGCCCGTGAAAGACAACGCAAGGGTATCACCGACGCTGAGCAGAATGGCAATTAGGCTTGAGGACAAAGATACGTTCTTCTCTCATCTTCGCACACGGATCTAGCTTGAATTGTTCAGTCTCATCCTGCCACAGCGCCGAGGGCAAAGGGAACGTAACACCGCAGATCGTGACATGCTGAAGGAATCCAATTGGTACCCTCAGGATTCCTCAGGTTGGGGCTGAACAACTCACAATTCTGAATTCTGGTCTTTGCAAGGCTCTTCAAACCGTCGCATACAAAAGTCAGGGCGCAGCATGTCATGGGACAGCGTTTACTGCCCGGCCCCTGATTGGAGGTAGACACGGATCCTACAGGTCCTACACGCATGTAAAAACCATCCAAACCCGCAGGCCACACCAGTTCCCAAGCAGAGCCAGAACGTAACTTGCAACCATCGTAACGTGACCAGGTGACGACAGTGACAACATGCAAGTGAGATGGGTTAGATTCGGTTAGAAGCAGTAAGATGCAGGCAGTCGAAGAGGCGTGCCAGTGGGGCTGTCAATGCAGCCTACGGGGCAACCCGTATGGAATTCGCAATTTGTTAGCTTGTGAACGCTGCATCTGCGCAACGGCGATTTCCTGCGTCACAGCTTCTTCCAGTTTCTGTCATCTCGGCCCTGTGAAATCCTACCAGTGCCTTCGCTCTGAGCACAGCGGTGGCATCTTACTACAGTACATCATGGGCCCATGCAGTACTGCAAGCCTGTTGGATCAGGATAGTCCACGTCCCAGAACAGTAGCTTGCCATCTTGTGCACAACTCACTACCTGAGCACAGCAAGTGCTCTGCCTTCACTTTGACGGGACAGGGAGTAGACTACAGCCTCATTGTCGTGGTCCTTCCGCTGCGAAAGGTTGGTGATGTTTCCACCCAACCTCAGAGCAAGGTGCAAAGGCTGTTGCTTGATGGTCACGCGGGAAATGATGTTCCAAGAGCAACCCAGAGCATAACATCAGAACATCAGAACTTCCGCAAAAAAATGCGAAGTCTTTAGTGGTATCTCGTGCCAGTCAGTCGACCACTACACCTGCGATGAAACGCCTGTTCTATACAAAGTCGGAGACGAGGACCTTGGGTGCCACCCTCGCATAATGAAACTCATGAATAGTAAGATGTTACCGGAAAGTGGATTCTGGATATGATTAAGTGGCAAATTGGGCAGGTTAGGCTGAATTGCAGCACATAGGCTGATGAGTCGGGCTCGCGGAAGATATGGCTGTTACCGTAACACAACCCCATCATCCCCATCGTCCTTATCCAGATAAACTAGCCAACATGAGCCAAGTGAATCAAATGTCAGGCAGCTGGGCCAGACTGCGATGACTGCGTCGGATTCTCACGGTTTTTAACTGGTTTCGATGATGTAAATCTTCACACATAAACAGGACCACAATAGGAACTCCTGCATTCCTGAGAAATTATCACATGACCACCACGTGAGACTTGCGAAGAGAAGGATGCCTCCCCTCCTTCTGAAATGATAGGCACTGGCCGAGAACTGCCGGCTGCCGAGCGTCGACGTGTGCTGCACGAGGGCCTTGTTCTGCTTGAGATCCTGGGCAACAGCCGGGCAACACGTTCATCGTCATGGGCTTCAAGTACATTGTCCCCAATATCAGTATTTCTGAGGGTCTTGCATAAGTCACAACCAGTTTATCCTCGCTTCCAGAGTGAACCACGTGCGGACTCACCTTCGAAGAGACTTTGAGGCTTTGAGGCAAACTGCCACGAATGGACTGTGTCATATCAACAGCAAGGTTGCTTGACAGGGTGACGCCTCGTCTAGGACAAGATCAGCAACTGGCTTGCGGTGGTTCTGGAAAGACCTGGGCTGAACATGCCTCTCCTAAGAACCGTTGGTCGGCAGTTTTCATGTTGACTCAGGATGTTGACAAAAGACAGCGGCAACTTACCAAAGTGGCCGGCGAGAGGAGCTCTCTGGAGCTTCGCTGCCAGAAGCCTGGGCTCACGAGCAGTGGACCTTTATGATCTCTATGACACGATCGACTCTCTTCAAAGCACGGGCACTGTAAGCCCTCTACGCACAGCGCTGTCACCGCCACCAGTGACTATGAAGTTGACTGTTTCGCGCACCACCGTGACTCCTTGCCTGCACATTGCCGAGCATGTCCAAAAACCGCTCTCAACACCCTGCGGCTGACTGGAACATATTTGACAACTGGCAAGAACTGCCTATGACAGTTCACCTGCCACAGCAGTCTACTGCTGCCCTTGTCGGATGACCAAGCGCGCAGGAAACCATCATCCTGATTCTGCGGCCCCGTGAAGGCCCCGCGAATTTCCGTGAATGTTGAAGCGGCCCAACAATGCAGCCATGTGTCGTAGCCGGCAAGAATCTCACCGTTGCTGGCAATGACCTTTTCAAGTCTCGGAAGCAGTACATCAATCAATCTCTCTGTTGGAAGCGGTACTGAAGGCAACTAAGGCCCAACTGCACTTCGAACTGGTGACTTTGCCAGGGCAGTAGTGATCGGCATGTAGTCAGAAAGATCCAGCAGGAAAACCTGTCCGTGATGGCGACAGCACTGCGACATCCGTGAAAACACCTGTTGAAAACAACTGTGTTGTCACCCGACCTCACCGGCATCCGACGTGGAGCACATGACGTCACTCTTGGCGCCGAATGCGATGTCTGTTACCTGCGGGCGTGGATATGCAAAGCGGACGTTGAGGAATCTGAAGCCCTACGTCAACGTCAACCCCATCAGCACAGTGACACACTGCTGTCGTCGAAAGCCGATCATGCAGCTCATGTGATTCGTTTGACGTCGAGGCTTGTGGGACCACTTTTGATACGCTGACAACATGGTGGCCCATGGGCATGAGCCCCCGGATGAGCTTGAACTTGTAAGCATGAGCACATGGTTGGGGCAAGTTCTGTTGTCCCGCTGTTTGTGCAAGTGGCTTCGTTTGTCCTGGGCTGGAGGCTCAGTCGTAGCGGCGCGAAACACCTTCAAACATTGCCCTGGGATGCAGGCTGTGATTCAAGTTCGTTGCCATTTTGCTTTCAGCTCCACGAATAAGAGTCTATTGAAAAGAGTCTTGAGTTTGAGGTCTTAGGTAGCGACATAGTGGGCACTTGCAATGTCAAGAATGCGAGCAGCTCAATAGGCCTCACCGGTGTGAGAAGCACTTTGCAGAGTGGCCGTCAGATCTGAAGACAGCAGTCTCCACATCTTGCCATTCCTGCGAGCATGTCAGATCCAGATCCAGGCACATTTCGTCACGCAAGCAGATACCTCGTCCCAGCAATCAGCTCTGCACCATCGGCAGAAGGCGTCAATGCCTGAGCGGCCACGCCCCCTCCAAATTGACCAGACTCTCAGAACGAAGCTTCAAGGAAATCAGGGCAGAACCATGACTCCAGTTTCAAGGACATTCTCTGCCAAGACCTCTCGCAGAACTGTCATGAAAGCATCTGAATGCATCTTGCCCGGTCTTGCCATCCACCCAAAATGTTCCAATCTGTTCCTTGTAGGATGCAGTGAGGGCCAGTACTCAATAGCTTGTTACACCGAAGCACTTGACAAAACAATGGACGGTGCAATACAGTGCAGCCCACTTGCCTCACCTACATGTAAGCCCGGGACATCCCAGTGGGTGTCGAAGCCACGAACGGCCTTGATCCTGCCATCACCACCAGCCTGCGAGCAGTCTATGAGCCCAATAGAGCCCACACTATCCTATCCATATACACCACATGGTACGTTCAGAATCGTGGGGCAGATGATGTTTCACAGCTACGATGCCAATCGTCTTAGCGCTGTGCGACGAAGAGGAAGTCTCCATACCTGATATCAGGGTACAATCAACTATTTGGGTTTGTTGCAGATTGAACCAACCGGCAACCAAACTAGCACTGAACTGCTGTCGAAGATCTGCGCAATGCCTGTTACACCTGAATTGCAGGTGCTGCTACAGGCTGTCAATGTCTGTGCAGGCGGATGGTCTGCAAGAGTCTCGGCACGCCGCCGTTGTTGCACACGGGCAGGGCTGTGCGGAAAACCTGGAGCAAGCAGCACATGCCCATCTTCTTTTCGGCAGATGGAAGCGGTCCTTTGTCTTCATGCTGAAAACGCACATGTCTCCAGCAGAAGTGCCTGTCCCAGTGAAAGCTAAGAGAGGCTTAAGAAGCTTAAGAGGGAGAAGAACTGGAGAAGAAGCTGAAACTTCAAGAGACCGATGCTTGTGTGGATGCTATACTGCAGCATGCTGCCTGTTATCAGGAAGTCTGCAACCACAAGGCCGCAGATGTGCTTCCGCTGAAGGCCGGATGGCGGAAACCTTGGAGATGTCCATCGACTCACACAGCTTCGAGCTTGTGTCGGTGCTGGGAGTCTTAGTGCTTTGCTGCATGGCATCGCTGCCCAGCGAGTACGACATCGACCTTTCGCCCGGATTCACCGGATTCACTCATGCTGTTCACTCTTCACACACTGTGCAAACTCTACCACAAACGAAACTTCTCATAATTCTCTTGGGCCCCAGGGCCGCATGTCGAAGCTCATGAGATGGTACAGAACTTGACTGTCGTAGGCGGTGCAAAGCCTGATTTACAATCTGATGCACGTGCACATGCGTGCACCACGTGCTGCCACAAGACTCCTCCACCACAGAACTCAATGCTCGTCCCAGCGTGGTATGAAGCAAAACACAGCCAATAAGGGTCCCGCTGATAAGACGGATATCGCCTTGGTGGATTCTCGTTTTCTTGCAGCTGGCTATCGGCGAAAGATGGCGATAGCACAACTTGAAAACCATGCTTCGCTTCAACATCTTGCTTGCGTTCTGTGACCCTTGTTTTTGCTGGTCTTCAAATTCTATGCCCGCCCTGGCACTTGCAGTTGCACTGGGACCGGGAATAATTCGTCACCCCAAGAAAAGGTGTTCTGCTGAGCTTCATGAAAATGCACAAGATGGCACAAGCCACGAGCGACACCTCTGATAAACGAAGACAAAGCGGCACAGCCGGAACAGAAAAGACACAAGACAGGCAGGTTGAGAGAGTGCTCGGTTTAGTGCACGGAGCCCTTGAGGGCCCGAGGGTTGCTGTTCTCTTGTGCTTTCATCCGAAGCTTGCTTCTCTTGTTGGGTTCCACACGCTGGGCAAGCTTATTGGCTGGCTTCCTCACCAGCAGGTGATGAATCTAATGGGCTTTGTCTTCGCTAGCTACAGCATGGTAACTACAGCTCCTAAACATGGGAGGCCAGCCCTTGGGAATGTGCCATGCTTCTTCTGTACACTGTGACATGACACCCGGGCACACGCGTTGCTCACAGCGTCGCAGAGTTGTGGACAAGCCTTTTGTGGGTCCTCTTTGCAAAGTCAGCCCAATCAAAAAAGCCATAGAGACACGCGCATGTTCCTTCTTCGCCTGGCCTCGCCCGTGCTAGCCTAGTCATGCCCGGTCGCTCTACACTTGTGTTCCCAAGTGAGTCAGTTGGGACAGCAGTGCCATTCATAGCACAATATAGCACACCACCGCTTCTGGCGCCGTACGCCCTTTTTTCTCAGCCACATCCCACCTGTACACACAGCGTGAGTTCGGAGAAGAGCTTCTGTGCAGCTCAGGCTATTTGGCTATTCACTGCCCACGTGCGCTCTATTCCCATGGCCGAAAAATGGCATGCGATAGCATCCCCATCTCGCACCACATTCCCACCCGCTCTCGCCTCTCTACACTGACATGTAACACATGAGTCGAGGCCGTGGCCCGGTTTCCAGTATGGGACCCCAAACACCAAGGAAGCAGGGACTCTCTGTCCTGCAACTCAGGAAGCAACGGTACCCGACAGTACGCAACAGCACGCAACTGGCGCAACGTACAAGCACACATGTCTCACATCAAATGATGTTTGCAACGTAGCGTTGAAGGTTGAACAGTTGAATACAGTTGAACTAGCCATCGCTGGCACAGGCGGACATGCAAGAAGCTGCGGGGAATTATCCCGAAGCCTGCGATTGTAGACAACCTCTCCAGTTGACACCTTCAGTTTCGGCAAGTCTGTGCTGCTAAATGCTGTAAGACACTGTAAGCTGAGCCTGCGAGGAAGCTCCCACAGACTTAAGCCCGCGACATCCCAAACATACAGCCTGCAGCTTGAATAAAACCGCCGAGCCACTGGCACCCGCTGCAAGAGCTGTCGCATGCTGTCGCCAAGGTGCATCTGATTTGCACCAGCCGCAGCAAGGAATCGTCCATCAGGGGAAAACTTTACCTTGTCCGATGAGCAAGCAGCCATGAGCGTAAAAATCTCGAATGCTCATCGACTCCAACTGGGCCGCAAGCGCACAGGACGGAGTGTGCCAGCCCTGAGGTTCGTCTGCTTAGCGCGACTGATTCCCAGCTCCTCAATGGTGCAAACTTGGCCCGCCACCGTGGAAGTCTATATATCGACTTCGATTATCAAAATCCCAAACCACCACAGGCCTCATGAGACAACATGAGTGGATCATCTGAAGGCAGAGTCGTCTGCTGAGACCAAGAGAGCGACGCAACTGCTCCCTTCCTGCTCGGCGAGCCAAGCCTTAGACACACCGGCGCGGCCCAGCACTTTTCAGAGGAAAGCTTCGTTGATTTATCATGAAATCAAAGCCGCAAATGGGTTTCCAAGTGAATTCGGACCAGGGCGGGAGCTGACCCGTTTAGCTCCGCAGAGACATGAAACCTAAAAAACTCACGCGGCAGCTAGTCTTGCACCATCCCTTGCAAAGCCTGGAGCTCGCAAGCCCGCACTGCCAACCCCCACGATCCCCGAAAACACTGCGAACCACGTGAAACCCTGCGAATTGCGCGCAAGCCCCCGAACCCCGTACGAGCCCCATAAACCCACCAAATCTCAGAGCCAGCTTCATGACCTCGCATCACCTCACGTTCTTGTCAGTTCACTAGGTCCTGATAGCTCCCCGTGCCAGGTGCCGGCATTTATGTGTTGCTTTTGAGTTCATATAATGTTTTCCTTACGCGGGGTTGGGCGATTCTATGTTTGTCGAAGGTTGTCCATTGCCCCAGAATGTCCCAGATGATGCTAGTAAAGCTTGCTGGCTATGTTTATATGAAGCTTGCTATGAATCAAACATGCCTGAACAACCACAACCACATCCTGGGCTTACACTATCTTTGGCGATACCTCGATCAGAAATTCGCACGAGCCCATAAATCAACATCGAAAGTGTTGCGGCTGACAATCTGTTGCCCGGCTTCCACCTACGACCGCGATTCCGACTCCATGCACAAATCGCATCGAGGAGTGGGCTGGCCACTCGCCAACAGCTTGCCGTTCAGGGAAACATCCAGGGCTGAAACCTGTCGGCGATAGGGAGCGTGGCGGCATTGTGCTCTGTGCCCGCCCCCAACCCCCCCCCAAACTCAAGGTCGACGTGCTAGTCAGCTCAGAAAGCAGAACGAACAAGTCAAGCGTTATATAAAAAGGCATAACGCACACGAGCCTTTAACAGGGCGAGCAACAGTCGGCAACCAGCTCGACTGAGCCAGAAGAGGCCAAGAAAAAGTGCCTTTAAAACAATTGCATTCCCTTGCATTATGCCCAGATTGCTGAGGTGGCAAGTGCTAAGCCACCCATTTGCAACAGTGTCAAGTCGAGGCAACGTCAGCCTGAACCAATCATGACTTCGACGACAACAACCACAGCAACAACCACAACAACAACCACCAACAACAACCACCAACAACAACCAACAACAACAACAACAACAACAACAACAACAACAACAACAACAACAACAACAACAACAACAACAACAACAACAACAACAACAACAACAACAACAACAACAACAACAACAACAACAACAACAACAACAACAACCAACAACAACAACAACAACAACAACAACAACAACAACAACAACAACAACAACAACAACAACAACAACAACAACAACAACAACAACAACAACAACAACAACAACAACAACAACAACAACAACAACAACAACAACAACAACAACAACAACAACAACAACAACAACAACAACAACAACAACAACAACAACAACAACAACAACAACAACAACAACAACAACAACAACAACAACAACAACAACAACAACAACAACAACAACAACAACAACAACAACAACAACAACAACAACAACAACAACAACAACAACAACAACAACAACAACAACAACAACAACAACAACAACAACAACAACAACAACAACAACAACAACAACAACAACAACAACAACAACAACAACAACAACAACAACAACAACAACAACAACAACAACAACAACAACAACAACAACAACAACAACAACAACAACAACAACAACAACAACAACAACAACAACAACAACAACAACAACAACAACAACAACAACAACAACAACAACAACAACAACAACAACAACAACAACAACAACAACAACAACAACAACAACAACAACAACAACAACAACAACAACAACAACAACAACAACAACAACAACAACAACAACAACAACAACAACAACAACAACAACAACAACAACAACAACAACAACAACAACAACAACAACAACAACAACAACAACAACAACAACAACAACAACAACAACAACAACAACAACAACAACAACAACAACCAACAACAACAACCAACCAACAACCACAACAACAACCAACCAACCAACCACCCACCACCCACCACCCACCACCCACCACCACCCACCACCACCAGCCACCACCACAGCCGCCGCCACCACCACCGCCGCCGCCGCCGCCGCCACCACCACCACCACCACCAACAACAACAACAACAACAACAACAACAACAACAACACAATGATGATGACAATGTTTCGACCAATATCTTCGCACGTTTACCAAAAACAAAACTATGAAAGTAGATAGCTGTTTAGGGACGCAGAACCCGCCTCATGAAACGCGCTTTCTGGCACACCCAAAAATAAATACAGAAAACTCAACCAAAACTCTGGAAACCATC